CCCCAAAACCCCAAAACCCCAAAACCCCAAAACCCCAGAAGTTGTTCTAAAAATTGAATTTGTTACTACCTAAATCCCTTCAAAGGGGGACTTGAAACCTCTATAAGAGGTTAGCCAGCTCCTTTCTTATCATACTTATATCCAAGGTCAGGGAAATGGTTGGTCGCGTAATTCTGAGCTGACTGGAAGAAGGGGTCTGAAGCTACTAAAGAATCATATTAGCTTAAATAACGCATGAATGGCAACTAAGAAAGGTAGAATACTTACTTATGCTTCTGCTGTATTGAGCAGCGAGAGCTGGCGGATCGTAGTGGTCATATTGTCCTATACGTCTAGATTTTAGGGACGGCAGAATACCTTTGTTCGACTTCTGAGTGGTCTCTTCGGTTGAGAGAGTAGTATTCATCTGGTTGGACTGGAGGAGGGAGCTTTTGAGGAGGTGGATAGCCTTGGAGATGGGCAAGTGACGGATCTGGGCTTATTTGGACTGGAAAGCTGGGAAATCTGAATTCGTTATTATCAATAGGAGCTGACGCCCTATCCATCTCAGAGACCCTATTTAAAGTTCTTATAAGTGTTAGACCGCCTTAAGGAATTATTCTTAGCCTTATTCTGGGTATCTTTGATTCTGGATACAATAGGCATTTTAGGAATTCGAGGAATCATTGGTGGCTTATCAATAGAATTAAGAGCAGCATTTTTGAAAACTCTGTCTGATTTTAGGTCGCCTAAACTTTGATAGCTATTTAGCCCGGACCTAACTACTTCTTTTGGTTCATTTTTCTTCCTACGCTTCTTCTCATTAGCAAGAAGAGCGGAGTCTTTGAACTTATTGTAATCAACTTCACTGTACTTAGATTCTTCAGTACTTTGGTACATTGAAGGATAAGAATTACGATCAGGGCTCTGCATCCCTCCTACTTTTTGGTAACCTTGGATACTTGGATATGAATTTAGGTTACTACCAAACTCCTCAAGACCTTTAGTGAGGTTAATGCTTGGCTTAAGGCCTTGGAATTTCTGATTCTTACGAATCCTTATCCCATTTCGGCTTATTTTTAGGGAGTCAAAAGTCTCAATATCTTTCTCTTTTGGCATGGATTCTTCTAATTCTGATGAAAAGAATGGGTGAATTATTAACTGAGATGCAGATGGTCTTTCCAAAGGATTATATTTAAGCATCCATTCTATTAGCTCAATAGCTTCTTTGGAAGCTCTTTTCAAAATTGTTGAAAGATCTATTTTCTCTCATTTAGGAAAGATCAAGCCTCTTCTTTCAGCTAATCTATGTCCTTCTGGCCATTCTTCCTCTGTTGGGCTTCCAAGAATATCTCATAATTTAATCATCTGGTCTAATTCAGATGAGCCTGGAAATATGGGTCTTAATGTGTATAGTTCAGCAAATATTCACCCGAGTGCAAAGATATCAACTTCTTGACTATAATTCCTCGATCTGAGTACTCATTCAGGGGCTCTGTACCACCTAGTGCTGACATATTCAGTCTTGGGAGAAAAGCTTGAGATCTTACCTGATTAGACCAAAGTCTGATATTTTAAACGTATCTCCATGAACAAGAATGTTTTCAGGCTTTAAGTCTCGATGAAAGTATTTATTCTCATGAATATAATTAACTGCTTTTAGTAACTGGAGCATAATGGTCTTTATCTCTTGTTCAGAGAAGGGGGTTGCCATCCGTTCACCCATGAGTCTCCCCAGGTCTTTATCCATGTACTCAAATATCATGAACATGAAGTCACTCTGTCTTATGACCTCTTTAAGTTTGACAATATTGGGATGTACTAATTGTAGAAGGGTTTTTACTTCAGGATCTTTCATGCATTCTTCCCATTGGGAGTACTTCTTTTTGAACTTTTTTACAGCCACTATTTCACCTGTTTGTCAGTCTTCAGCCTTAAAGACAAGGCCGAATGAACCATCCCCAAGTGCTTCTAGCTTTTTAAACCTCTCCATTTATAATTCAATAAAACTCTCAAAATTTGGGGTTTTGGGGTTTTGGGGTTTTGGGGTTTTGGGGTTTTGGG